CTGGGTGGTTGAATGTATTATTTGAAAACTGTATTCAAATTTGAAAACTGTTTTCATAATTTGAATACTGTTTTCAAACAATTTGAAAAATGTATTCAAATCCTTGAAAGCGCCATATACCGTACTAGGGTTAAGGATTGGCCCCCCGCCCCCCAATGGGGCTGGGGGCCAACATCGTTTGCGTCGTGGAACGATCCTTCCATATAAAGCAGGTACTCACCAATGCAAGACGGGGAGGTAAAATACCCATCGTGAAAGGTCAAAGCGCAGGTCATAACCGCATATGGCTCATGCGCGGAGAAGTTACCACGGAGACTAATCAACAAGAAGTTTGAAGGCCGGCTGAGAAGGTTTGAAGACACAAATACTTAAGCGACGATGGCAAGCGCAACGTCAAAACTTCACAACAAGAAGAAAAGTGCATACAAAAAAGAAAAGGCCGGATGCCGACCTATGGCTCTCTCGGAATGAAGGGATTCCCACAATTTCCAACAGATAATCCACAAGTACGGACATATATATGGAGGTACTGGGTAGAGAGAGGTCGGAACGGTTTCTAATGTGAAGACACAACAACAACAACAATGATGAAGGTCGACCCGTCCTGCGTCGTTCGGTGTAAAATGTAAAATGATAAATGCGAAAGATGGACTGCGTAAAGATCCAGCGGTCTTTTTCGGCAGTGGCAAAGAAATATTCCACCACATGTCGCAAAAACAAAAAGTTGAGCGGGATACCGTAGGACATAGAACACCGCCGCCTTCTCTGTTGCTGCAGGCAGGTTTGGGTTTGCTTCCGTTTGCTTCCACAACCCGGGAACCCAACCCACTCTTGTATTTCGGCCTACAAGACTCCAATCGACGCAAGCACCAGTAGGAAAGTGCGTGGCAGATGCCGTACAGCACAACTCCACTCTCCTACGACATCTATGTACAGTAGTACTGCTGTCGTTGTAGCACCATGTGGAAGATCTCCGAGGGGTCCTCCTGCGCGGTAACGACAGCATGGCGAGAGTTCTACGTGTACCTGTCGTCGACACATGTGGCAGCCGCACACACGAACGGATGTTTGCATCGCATTGTACTATGGTTCGCCGTGACAGGAAGTATCCCATCCAGTTAGGTCGTTGCGGTAGTACGCGGACGTCGTTCGGCGTCTAGTCCATACTGCTGTAGCAAAAACACAGCAGTAATCGAGCTACATATGCATGCAATTTTTTGCTCTGGTTCACTTTTGCCTCCACAACCCGAGAATCTCATGGCTGTATCTCGACCTACAAGACTCCAATCAACAAACCAGCACCGGCAGAAGTGCGTGGAAGATGCTGTGACAGCACAACTAAGTCGACACTCGTACGACTTCTATGTACAGTCGGCGTCTGGTCCATACTGCTGTAGAAATACAAAAATCGAGCCATCTTTTTTTTTCTTCCTACTATATTAATAAGAAGAAATGTATCACGTCACGACGACCATCCTGTGAGTATATATATAACATAATATGACACAAGAAAACACACTCTCGGTGATAACATTTTGGAGTTTGACCGTCGAAACCGCAAGGGGGAACATTGAAAATGAAACGTGTCCCTTGCAATTAGGATAATCGATTTCTGTGCACCTTACATAAAAATTCCCATACACCCAGGTGACAATGGAAAAATTGGGAACGCCGACAAATTCCGCTGAACCAGAAATCTGCACTTCAAAGAGCCAGCCAGTCACATCTATCTGCTGAGAGGAGCACGCACGCAGTCATTCCGGTTTGAGCTCAGCGCCACCCACCTCTCTTGGATTGCGGAGCTAGCCGGCGTTTCGGATCCAGCCGTTGTGCGATACTAATCATCTCCGATAGGACTTGAGGAGGACGGACTGTAAAGCTGTAGTAGTATACTGCACTGCGTTTGCTCCTTGCTGCTGCCCTTGGCTGACCCAGGACTCCGAAAAATCCCCACAGGTACGAACAATCTCCTTTGTGTGTGGTCGAAGATGGACTGCGTTATGTACAAGCCCAACATGCCACCATGCACAACATACTGCTGCTGCCTTCACCTGTCGCCGCCCTTCCACGTCCACCTGTCCATGACACATGCTGCCAAGTGATGCGACAATATCTGGGAACAACACGGACACAGGGAGTACTCCCCCTACCCGTCAAAATTGCTTACAAGTTAGAACAACCTCCTCTCATTCCTCCCATCCATGCCAAATACAAATGATGTACAGTAGCATGCATGAAATGATAACCTCTGTCTTTACTTGTGGTCCGCGCTGCCTACAAATGGGCGAGGTAGCCATACCTTCTGCCTACACACGGGCGAGAGAGGTAACCATACCCACTGCATTTAGCACACACCCACATGGTCGGTGATGAAACCTCAACCACACGCCTCTATCGGCGACCACGTCAGGAGGCAATGATGAGAGAATGTTCTCCCGTGCCCTTTGCACATTTATTTAACGACATTAAATTACACAAAATAAATGGTGAGAAAACGGTGAGACCACTCCCGTGTGTCCACACGTACTCCGAAATGTGTCCGCACATATATATGCATACTCCGAACATATATGCGTACCACACTGAAAATATACGTTTGAAGACTGAGGGAGACTGCATGCCCTACGACTAACAGGGTGCCACACACAAAACGCCCGACTACCCAACTGTACCCAACACCTTTCTGCTACACCTTCCCAACATAACATATATGAGACACACAAGACAGCTACCAAACAAACTGTTTTGTTGAGCCTGTTACCCGCAGGGGAGATGTCCCTATATGCTGTCTGGGAAATCGTAGACATACACAGGTAGCTTTTTCTGACGCTATGAATTCATTGCTAATCTGTCTCTGACTCTTTTCAATGATAGAGATGAATTCGTTGTGTCATATTAAGAGAATATATATATATATTATCACCGGGTGTGGTATCCTGTGGGGGGGGTGTTATCTTGTGTACCCCGGGTGATAAAGTGCAGCTCGCAGGGGCCCCTAAGGGGGTGTGATAAAACAGAGGGGGTGTGATAGCGCGTCCGAACACCCACAGCGTGTGTTTGGGGGTGTGATAAATGGGTGTGTGTGATAAAAGGGGGTGTGATAGCACGTCCGAACAGCCACAGCGTGTGCTTTGGGGTGTGATAAATGAGGGGGTGCGATAAAAGGGGGTGTGATAGCCATGCCTGCACGTACACGTGCAGTGTAGGGACCTACCTAAAGGGGCGTGGAAAAACAAAGGGGCTCAACTGAGGTGACGAAACTCCTGAGCGCATGACCTCGGCGATAACTCAACCCTCTCATCGCCAAAAAAAGTTTGAAACAAAACACGGGCTTGAATCGAGCAAGAAATAATTAAAAATCGAAGGTACCTCGACCGATACGATGATTGGCGGTGGCCACAGACTGCGTGCGCCATCCTTCCTGCCCCCCTCACAAAAACGTTTACTTGGTACTTGCGGCTGCATTCTGCTCTGCCTGCACGTTCATGTTGTTGGGGGTCTCCATGCGGGGTGTTTCCCCGCACACAGCTGACGTGGTTGTGTGTGTGATTGCCCAGGGCAGATGCTGTCACCCCGGTGATAAAGAAGGAGGGGCCCCGTGACTATATGCGGCGATACTAAAAATATCACCGGGGTGTATTATCTTATGTACCCCCGGTGATAAATCGATGGTTTGTCAGAAGCGCCCAAAACTATCACCGGGGTGTCGTATTCTGTGGGGGGTGTGCTTTCTTATGTAGGTGTGTTATCTTGTGTCATATACGGTAGCCTCCGAATGGTCGTTGAAATAAAATCCTTTTACCCTAGATGTTGGGAATGTGGGAATCATACATTTTCATTTATGTTCTAGGTCATTCACGGGACTGTGTGGTCAATCGTCCAAATCGATTTATTCCGGAAAGAGCAATGCTCGAGCATATCTTGTACCAGAAAGGAGCATATGTGTCCACATTTCGAGCATATTCGTGCATTTTACGGTTCAGGCCACAAAAAATGGTGGATAAGACGTGATTTCAAGTTCGCTCCTAGCTCTCGGGGGAAAAAGTACTTTGTACTCCATCCTTCCATATTATTATAAGGTCTGCCTTTCTTTTTTGGCAGAACAGCACAAACGGGGAGAAGGTGAGAAAGAGTAAAAAACGCCCGCCGATATGCCACGCACGAACACGGTTACAGACACAACAGCCTGTGTTTCGTATCGTGAGATGAAGAATTCTTACCCAGCGGCGCAAAATCACTGCCTCCTCGGTTGGTTGTATGTAGACAACACATGATCGCACGTGAACAGTTTACGGAACAACACGAGAATACATACACGAAGTCGCTAGCACCACTCCCAAGTAGGACACGGAAATCACTTGCCGAACACACCGAATTCCCGAAAATAGCTCCTCTTGGGGTCGCAAAGACACTACTTCAAGTACTACGTATACAGTACCTATTTTACCAAAGCATATCAAAAATGTGGTGTCGCCCCCACGGAAAGCGACCAAATAATCCTCCCACACACTTTTCAGTGTCTCAGTGTGTGTGCTAGAACAATCTCTCTTTAGAATATCATGTCCAGATACATCCCAGGACACAACGGCAATCGAAGAACTCCTCGCAACTGTATTGTACACTCATCCTTGAATGAAGCTCAAACGCATCTGCCCAGCAGCTACTACAGCTACTGCTGCTGCTGTAGTGGACAGGAACGGAATCACTTCACACGTCGATCAATCCAATGCAATTTGTTTGAGTTGCGTCGTACTGAACAATACCAGGAACAAAAGGAGATCTCCATCCCGCCCACTGGCGATCATACAAGAGAAACGTGTTGTGGATCCACAACAACACCCGAAACATCCCCACACGCCGAGGATGTCCGCTCCATGCGGACGAACCTCTGCTAACAACCCGTATGCCGTTAGTGACCATACCAAATCCTGATCATCGAGACGCGGACGCCCTGAAGGAATCATGGTCCTATCCCGTTGGAAGCTAACCAGTGTCGTCTTCGGATGCCATCTTTCAGGGCAGCTACCAAATTCATGTACTTTTGGTCCTATGTAAAGCAGGTCCAAAACCGTCTGCCTACCAAACAGAACCCGATTTGGTACTAATAATGAACGTAGCACCCGCCGATCGTCTTGTGATCGTTTGACTGCCATCGTCTCGCGAGGGTGAGGAGACACCACGTTTATGGTGCCAAGAGCTTGAACTAGTCCTGCCGACGTCACGTGCTGACATTGCAATTCGTAGGCCATGAGTCAACCAAACGGTTCTGTCAACGAAACCCTACGCATGATAGTGACATATATCTTCTGACAACATCGTCAAACGTTTGGATGGCTTTTAGACATGTCGGGCATGCTCAAACAATCATGCACAGGACTGGTTTGTCGTACTGGTAGGAAGACACGAAGTTTTCACCAGGAAGCGAAATGGAGATTGACGTACTTTTTTTTTTCCGCATGTCTTCAGCACGATGTCTCCAATGATGACCCTATCGACAAAACTTGTGATACCCACGTCTGTCCGCGTCATGTTCTACTGAAAGACACATGATTTAGACCGTCCCTCCTGCCCCCATTCCTCGCTGCGTTCTCTGACAGATGCCGCTTCGGCGTCCTCCACCGGAGCGTCCACCAATCCCATCGATGACTGCAACTCCAATTCTCCTCCACCGTCAGTCAAGCCTACGCCACCAGCAGCGCGTTTCTCTGATCCCCTTGTCGCGCTTGCCTTTCCATCAACTCCCTTCCCGGCCGATTTAGAAGCACTGTTTCTGCTGTCGCCGCTGTCGCTGTCGCTCTCTTGAAAACCTCGCTGTGCGGCAGCCGACATCCGGAGCATGTCCAGAACACGGTGCTGCTCGGCACCGGAGCTGGAGTTGCTTGCGTCTCCCTCCTTCCCGTAGCCCCCCCCGCTTATTCCAGAGTCAGCGTCAACAAAACTTGTATCATCTGCGTTTAGGGGAGAGCCCGGGGGCGAAACGTCGTCCATTTCCCGGTCTGCGGCTCCGCGGATGGCGTTCATCCACCTTCGATGGGTCGTGGGTGGGAACGGCGGGTAGAACGGGCAGGGAAAAAAATATTCTTGTTCTGGCGTATGCATACATGTCACAACTTGTATGTTTCGATTTGGCTACCGTCACGCGTGCTCCTCGGACAGCAGTTCCGAGTGCGGGGATATACCTGCGCACTAAGGAGAGGGGTTGGTTACAGGAGCTGGGTCGAGAAGCCGTAATACCTCTTTTTCGCCACGACAAAACTTTGCACTGAACGGGCCAAGCTCGTAGTAGATGACTCCGTGTAATTGTTGCCAACCACCACCCGGAGCAACGCTCGCGTACAAACTGACGTAGATCTGCACTTTACCTGGACTTCTCTTGTCGAGTGCTGGCTTGCAGTGTCCATGAAGCCCCGGGGTTGTCATCGTTTCGAGGGCTGCATGAAAAAATCCACGTTAAGCGTTTCAGCGTCGCGGCGTGCAAGAAGGTATTGGTCACCGCTCACCGCAAGCGGTTGGGCGCACAGGGTGGCGCTGTACGGTACAGATACAGGGTGGCTCGGAGTATAGTCAGTGCACTCTTGCGCATCGTCATGGCCATTGTGAGTAGCGAGGCATGTCGGAAAGGAGGCACGGGCGTTGTTTTGCCTCTACCGCATAAGCGTCCTTGATTGTGGTATTGGCACGGTATAGCAGCTGTAGGGCCTACAAAACTGGGAACATCGAGAACACCAACATACCTCCACGGCGTGTTCTGCTAGTTCTTCATCAATGACTCCATCAACACCTATCTCACTATCAGAATTCATCGGAGAACTGTGGTGTGCCCTATGAAAGATACACTGGGTGATGAAATATCCAACCGCACTTTCTGACATCAAAACCATCACCCACACCACCACCACCACCACTACCACCAAGCCACACTCTCGGGCACGAGAGCAAAGAGCATATCACGAGGAATAAACGAGTTTGCTCGAACCAAGACGCTCGCAAGCAGCAATCTCACCACTGCTGCGCCCTCACGCGAAACGCGAATGGCGCCCCCTCCGGAACCTTCTCGGGTGCGTCCTCGACGGAACAGCCCTTGAGCGCCATCTTTCCCACGCACGTGTGGTTCCCTCCCCATCCAGAAAAGGCCGTGAGCTTGCCGCGTTGCAAGATATACCACCGTCTGCACCATTCTTCGTTGTTTTCGTCAGCATTTATGTCCGTAGAGGTGGTAGGGGTGGCCATTGAAGGGGCGGGTGGGGGCGGTGTAGGCAGCGGCGGCCACGACTGCCCCAACAAGAAGCCACTGGTTTCCTGTTCGTTTGTATTTTGCGGAGAAATAATAGGTTGTGTCTTCAAGGAGAGGCGAGAAGAAAAACGAAAGCGTTGACGGAAAGCCGTTCGAATTCCGACTCGGTGGTACTGGCTTGAGGAACCAAGCTTTTGTCCACTACAACTATGCGCTTTGTGCTAAAGGATGGAACATCACCACACAATTGTTAGATGCGTAGCAACACCAAGTTGGCCATTGCAACGCACCAAGATAGAGCACAGAAGGGCACTAGAAATGGGAGGCAAGAAGAGAACAAAAGGGTGCGGTTAGCGTGCAATGACCGATGATCTTGAGTTTTTCGCGCGATGCGAAACCTCCAAGCACAACCAGCAATGAGGTTCTCAACGGCGACTCCTAATACTGTGCCGACAAAGTCAATGAATACTCACAAATAACCGGGTATGCTGAAAATGTCCAAACGTCTGATCTTTGAGCTCCTCCGCAGTCTCCAACTTTTCAATTCCACCGATTACGTCGCTCGTCGTCTTCCGCCTTAATCTTGAGTGTCGGGTGTTGGTCGTGGGGCCGTCGCCGTTCCTTGTGTTCCCACCTTGCCTTGCCGTACCCTGGTGAGGACGGTCCTTCTTCTCTTCGACTCTCCCTGGCCCTCCGCTGCGGGAATCGGGCAGTAACCCATCGGGCGCAGCAGGTGTCATTTCCGAAGGGAGTGAAAGCGGCGATGTGATGACACCTGGCTGGGCCGTTTCTATGCCATGGCCGGCGGCGGGTGGCCGCTCTCCCTGGTGCACCTCCTGCGAGTTATCAACCTCAATGTCGTCTCCCCTGATGAAGTCCGCCTGGCTCTGCATCTCGCCGACACTGACAGCGGCTGCGTGGCGAGCGGCATAGTCTGCTGCAGTGGTAGCAACGAACGAAGCAGCAGCAGCAGCAGCAGCAGCAGTAGACGAAGCAACCTGGGCGCCGGCACCGGTTTTCTCTGCGGTGGCGGAATCAGTCCTCTTGTCGGGCGCCCATTCTCCGCTGTCGTTAGCACTGTTGACATCAGCGGTTGTACTCGTGGTACTGTCAGCACTCCCGCGTACATTGTGCTGTCGGAGGATCTCATCGAAGAATCTGCCCGCTTTCTTGGGGTCAAGCAGCAATACCACCGCCAGGAGAGCCACCATCGTAGTCCTATTGTCGCTGGCACCGAAATTGGACCACACCGACATCACCCCATATTTCCCGCTCTCTTCGACTTGCCCCTCACCCCCAACCGCCACCGCCTTGTCTAGGTCAAGTACCATCGGTAGCCGCGCACCGCCGTCGTTTCCTATCCTCGAAGACACCTCGTCATTTGTGCCGTCTTTATCGCCGAGACTCGGTTTAAATGTGTCGCGGCCCTGGTGATCATCGTTCGCACGTTCGCCTGCTTCCTTGCTCGTAGCAACTGCATCGATAACATCGCCAACGGCATCAGTATAGTCACTGAGGACTCTGACGGTACCTTCTTCGGGATCATTTTTCCGTTGTCGCTCTGGCGACATGTCTTTCTCAGCCTCCGCCGCTTCAACGTTCGGGCAGCTACTCGGTTGCGCTCCTGGTACTCTGCCGTCAGGATCACTACGCGAATCATATTGGTTGCCATCTCCCTCCCCCACCGCCGTGTCGGTCACCATTGACCCAGGCCGGTGGTTCAAATCTACCAGCGATGATGTTTCACCATCGCGAATATCAACATCCTGTTCCCCTTTTTGTTCGGCATTGATACCGTTCATTTTGTCCCGTTCGGTAATGCTCGTGCCCTGCTCCATGTCGTTCACCCGCCGTCCCTCGCTTGCCATTCGTTCCATGCTCGTGACGGTAGCAGCATCAGCGGCGGTGGCGCAATTGTCAGCGACGTCACTACTGTTGCTTCCGGGGTTTGTTTCCAGACCACTCCTCGGATGGCCCTCGACAAGGCGAGGGTCCGCATTCTCAACCGTCTCAGAAGTACGCTCATTTTCTCCTACGCGCCCCTCCAAACCACCGCCGCCACTGCCGGTGTCGTGTTCTTCTTCTTCTTGTACAACCCCAACCCCTAGCTTTGTTGCTTCTTCGTTACACTCGCCTCCATCCGCACGTTCCCCTCCCCGTTCCCCCTCCCCGCCCTCTTCCCCGCCGGCTGGCGCAAAGGCGCCTCCTTGACCATTGCGAAGCATTTTCACTCCTGGCGTTGGTGAGGCCTCGTCCGTCTCATTACTATTCCTGTTGGCCCAGACCGCCTTGCCCTCGTCGTCGCCTTCCCGCGGAATACCGATCGTCCCGCCAACATTCCCTGTTTGTACTTCTTCTGATGCTCCTTCATTGTTGGAGTTTGAGAGGGTCGAAGCGGGCGAGGCATTTTCTTCTTCTTCTTCGAATCTTGGTTCTCCAGCACCATCTGGGGGCGGCAATGGTGTTAACTGTGGAGTCACATCGCCAAAGGTGCTGTCGATGCCTATGTTGCCGTCTCGACCATCGATGCTGTTGTTGTTGCGTGGCTCACCGCAACCTTCGAGGCTCTGGGGCACCTAAGTTGTTGTGTGAGTGTGTTTCGAGTCGAATCGGTGAACGGGGGAGGTGGGGGGTCGGGGGATAGGGAGGACGAAATTTAGAGATACTTTGGGAAGTGCTGAAAACGCTTCAAAAAGGCGTTCCCACTACGAGTTGGCTTGCCGTCGACCAGGAAAGAAAGGAAAAACGGACCTCGTCGAGAGGGCTCACCAACCTCAATCCGCGTGCCGAACGCAAAAGGTGCATTCGCTATAATAAACGAGAGGGATGGGGAATATTGGTATGTTATCACACAACACGTATGTATCTAGCACACCGCGCAAACCGTCGCCACTGCTGCAGCTGTCACCGGAAGAAAACACCACAGCAACCTCTCTCTACTGTAGAAGACAATTGTGGAGGCATTTGTACAAGGTCACAACAGGGATGTCCAGGGACAACGCTGCCCCGACCCGACCTTCCCCGATGGCGATGTGAGATGTTGGACACATGGCGGTAGAGAGAAAAATTGCACCTACTCTAATGTCAGTGCCATCTCTCGCCTCGAGCGGACGGTGAGGTCGGCCAGCGCCGGGAGACAACACGCACGGCCCGCGGTTAGGGAAATTACTGAGCCTCAGGCCGCCGCGAAAATAATTTTCATATGCAAACAGCTCAGGGGTGAACCCCTACACCCAATGTCGTTCATGTACGTGGTCAGAATCGACACTGAATGAAACAAGGATTGTTTCGCGAAGAACCCTATTTGCGAAGAACCCTATGCAACTGGCATGATTGTGCTGCAGTACTGAGAGGTCGTGCGGACTGTACATACTGTACAGTTGCAAAGTGCGTTTTCCCTGTACATTGCAAGTGTTCGCGTATGGCCCAGCAGCAGCACACGAGAAGGAGGTGAATCTGATTGATATCGTATTGCTGCATGATTAGACTACACGGGCTACGGGCATAGTCTTTGCATAGCGGTAGGTTTTGCCATGTCGTGGGGTCGTGCACTTGGTTGTACATGTAAATACAAATGCAGTTATGCGTACTACAGCAGTAGTGCACACAACGACCGACCCCGTTCGTGCCTACTGCAACGCGCGACTTTGATATTCACCCATGCTATCCCCCATCACCCCGACCCCACCCCAGCTTTGTGCGTGACGTCTCCGCAAGTGTGTGTCCGGTTTCCGTCGTTAACAGCACATGGATCCAGGATGATTCGGATTGTGCGGGGCCTCGAAGAAGAGAGCAAGTTTTTTGCAGCGGACCAAATTGTGGAACATCATACAGCACAGCAGCAGTACAGCAATTCTGCAAGACGCGGGGTTATAGCGTTAGGGCCCCGCACTCGAGGCCGACAAGCTTGAACTACGAACGGATGATACCGCGCATTATCGAGACCGCCCTACACAGCACACGACATTAGTCAGGTATTGGGTCCCGTGTAGGTATGTAGTGCTGTAGACTATGCATACGTAGTCTGGCATTTCATTCACCACTGCTGCTGGCTCCAAGTGCAAGAGTGACAAGTCACCTGCACGAGATGAAGGTTTTAGAAGCATGCATCCGCAGAAGTACTAGCACTATAGCAGTACAGTCTATGTACTGCACACCAGTGCTTGCACACTGTACGCAGCTGCATGTCCAAATGCAAGGCATTTCGGGACGCGTTCATATTTTATGTATAGAAAGACAAAATATTTATACGTGTCAACAAGTCGACGTGGCCGAGTGGTTAAGGTGACGGCCTGCTAAGCCGTTGGGCTGTGCCCGCGAGAGTTCGAATCTCTTCGTCGACGTAATTTTTATCCTCTATCCTTTTTCTTTTTTTTCTTTTTCCTTGTTGTTCCTTTTTTTTTTTTTCTTAATATGACACAACGAATCCATCTCTATCATAGAAAAGAGTCAGAGACAGATTAGCAATGAATTCATAGCGTCAGAAAAAGCTACCTGTAAGGCTACGATTTCCCAGACAGCATATATATAGGGACATCTCCCCTGTTTATTTCTTTGCTCTTTCTTTCGTTCCTGTTGTTTCCGTTTCTTATTATTTCCATTTTACTTAATTTGCCACTTCCAACCGCGGAAACTGGTAATATATCGTACAGCATAGTAGTCGCTGGACGCCGATCACATACAATAATACCAGTTGTTATGGGATTTGAGTACAAGGATCTTAACGGCAGTTCTCGGCGAGATTATATGTAGATCTGGCGGGAACTGCAACTCCTTTGGATTATTGCTAAACAGGAGATATTTCCATAGCATCCCCCCTCTCAGCAAGGAGCGGCCCGCGCCCCCTTCCGTTCAGTCAGTCTATCTACGGAGCTAGGAACAGCAAGTGCTGCTGTGTTGAGAGATAACAAGAAAGAGAACAAGAACAAAGTGAGTCATCATCAGGGTCTTCAGGGATAGCTACGCGTTCTCATCACACAGTGTTGTGTCTGCACGGAAAAACCGCCGCCCGTCGTCGTCGTCGTCGTCGTCGTCGTCGTCGTCGTCGTCGTCGTCGTCGTCGTCGTCGTCGTCGTCCTACCGCTCTCTGCTCAGTACTATTATTTAGATCCATAACGACTCCAACTGACACGGACGCCTTCTGGTCACAGGCCAATTAATACTTGTACCCAAAATTGGGTATCGACGCACTTCTAAAATATAAAACGATTCTCTTCGAAAAAAATAAATCCTCCCTACGAAGAGGAAGTAAATACGCAAGCAAGCTTAGGTACATGGCGGCGGGGGCAGCGTGTTTCAGACTCGAGTCTAACTCCAATAAAAAAGATTGAAAGAAAGATATCCAACAAACGGGAACAAATGGTGCTGGTGTCGTCAGAATTCTGGACAACCTGATGCCGAACTGCGAGATACACCATAAACATGTGTGTGCCGTATTTCCCCGCCAAGCTTTCATCCGCGTGTTGCGGTCATGATATTTCTTCGCATTGAAATAATATTGCCCCGGTCATCGGTGTTTGCGTGTTCGTGCGACTGCTGTCAGTTCCATTCATTCTGGGCGTTGATCTTCACATTTTATCGGATATTATGTCACACTGTCTGGACGCACCAACCAGGGTCACGCAGGAAGGTTCCCCAGAATTTGATTTGTCCTGCATTCCCTTGCGGTGCTTGTCATAATCTAGCGAGAAGGAGTCAGCCTTCCTTTCCCCCATCGATCGTGAAGTGGAACATTTGTTGCGGTTGTACTGAACTGATTAATCGCGTCCCATACCGTTCGCGGGTAAATTGAGAGGAAAATGTCAGTTCGTGTGACGGTGTCCAGATTCAAACCCGCGTCCCAAGCGTCAGAAGGTTGGGAGGTTACCAACTGACGTGTGGCCGTAGTGTTCAGTTAAGTAGCATTCACCCGCGCTAACCCGCCGACCAACTATGAACCAATTTTTGCCGTGGAATACGTAGAAACGACCACGCTTTTTCTCGGCAACGAGCTCCGACGGTGGAGGGGCGCGCGGAGGAGTTTACGAGTCAGTCTCCCGGTTGAAATTACTTGTGAAAAAGGAAGACTCAAGACCCACATGTCGCGTTCCTGCTGCGGTACTTACTTCTCCTGCGACTGTAGCGTAACGTATATGTGCTTGCGATTCTTAGTTTGCGCCGACCGCGCCAACCGGTTGATCATTGAGTTGTCATTGAAAAGGAAGTGTTTGTTTCTTTAATCAGCATCGATAGCGCCAACCGGCTGGCCAAAGAAAAGACATCAGTGCGTGCGCGTGTCAACCTGAATATCTTGGATGTCCAGCTAGCTTTTTTCAACTTTCGATGTTTGCACCCAATCAGCTGAAACTGCATGTCATATCAAACAAATAAAGGCGTCCGTCGGTACTTGCACCGTAGTACATACCGGTATACGTTTGCCGCCGTAAAGTGACGGGTATCGGGAAACGGTAAGAAAAAAGCCATTCAGTACCTTGCTCGTGACACCATGGCCGGTGTTGTTGTCGTGGCGCTTGATGCTCGCGATCAGAGTTGCGTCCACCACTTGCAGGAGATCGATCTAACAACATCATCATTGGTCACGTTTGAAGTACCACAGGAAAGAAGGAGAGCGGAGAGGAGAGCGGTGTAACCAAGTCATTCATCATGCAAACAACGCAACGAGAAAGAGCAATGTGCTATGGCTCGAAGCGTATTCTCCGTAGCTGCAATGTTTTTTTGCCAGTATCACAGGTGATACTCAGTATTCGTATGGAAAGCGAGCTAGCGAGAGACGATGTTCCTTGCGTAGTCGCACGTGATCGTGATCGTGATATGATATTTATACATGTCTTGGGCAGTGCTTCCAACGTACCTGCGGGCGGAAACGCGAGCTCGCGAAACGTGCTTGCAAGAAACAGCCTCCTAGACTAGCCCTTTAACTTTTGTTGCTGGTGGGCTGCGCCAGGAATCCGTGCTGCCACAACGATAGCGAAAGAAACATAGTGCTAAGACTCCACACACAAGTAGAAGAAAACGTCAACGGGTTCTCATCATCGTTCATGTTGCATAATGGTGTATCATACCTCCCGCTTTAGACCGTCGGCCTGGGCCCGAGCGAGCGATTCCCGTCGGCGAGATGACGCCAGCTCTCGCTTCAGGGCGGAAATCTGAGCGAATCAAAACGAGGCAGAGCGTTTTTTAAGTCGCGACGAGAATCAGTGGAGAGCGGTTGGCCACGTCCTACCCACGCACACCCGTTAGCTGCGAGAAAGTCTAGAAAACATGGCACAGAATGTGCTGCATGAAAACTAGTGCTCCTCGACAACACCAATAATCCTTAGCGAGGGTGACGTCGTCCGAGGGTTCTTCTCGCGAACACAAGGAGGGGGGGGGGTTGTAAGAACAACAAATTGATTGGCCATTTTTCAACCAATTCTGTTAATTGAATCACTTCTTCTCTCGAACGCCGTCTATGGCACTGGCATTTTAACTAGTCAATGTGTTCATCTGGACGTAGAGGGTGTAACTGAGGCCATCCGAAAGCGAGAAGCAGGAGCGCGTGGAAAATATTACGTTCCAATACATCTCGCCACATCCTGTGCTCAAATTTCCACACGACTAGAGCAGCATTTCCTTCATCCATTTTTAGCAAATTGCGTTCATCTTCAGCACAAAGCTGACTCTCTGTCGTAACACATGCCTTGGCTCGTGTTTGAGAAGGTCAGGAAGAATCACGCTACGATCTCGGAAATGGCAACCGCCTCGTAGGGTGTCTACAAGTAGACCCAGGGTCTTTATGGCATGAAGTACCGCACGTCATGTCAGAAAACGTGACAGAAGAACACAACAAACTCGACCATACCGTTGTGCGATTTTTGGGTCGACACATAGGAATACATTTTTCGCGAGAAACGTGTTGCCGTTCTTCCCTCAAAAGTGCTTACGAACAAGCGCCTTCTAAAACAATTCATGTTTAGCCTAAGCAGGGGGGAAACTACAATACCCCAGAGCAGAATACATACAAACGTCAACGGTACTTGTCCACGCCACGACGACAACTAACTAAGGTTTTCCAGAGTCTCTCTATGCGGCGCGTATAGAACGTAGCAGGTGTGTAGAGCACGTAACACACTTGTACACCGTTTCAAGTGCACATGGGCTGTTTTTGGCGGTCTCATCGTGTCGACCTCTCTCACCTCCTCCTGGAGGCGGCGGACGGTTCGAGCGAACGGATCCTCGTTAACCTTGACGGAGTTTACAATGCTCTTGGCCTGGTCTGCGTACCGCAGCGTCGACATGGTCTCTTCCAGGAACCGGACACCGGGCCTTACGGTTGTTGTGTTTGCACGAGTAAAGACAAAACGACAATCAACCAACGGGTAAAATGATTACATGTGCTCCGTAATATGTAGACACATTGCTGTACTTCAAAATCGAAAGGAAGCGCTTGTTGTCAACGGGGAGGGAAAAGGCGACGGCAGTATTGGTACAGTGATGTATGCATAGGATTCATCAGGAAACAAATAGAACGACCATGCGTTTCGGTACAGGAAAGCTGGAAAATTCCGACACAAAACAAATGACGCCGTGAACATTGTGCTATTGGAGAAACGCACGTGAGTCCTTTTGAAATTGCATCTAACGTCTGTGTAATACAATGACCGGGTGTACTCGCTCATACAAGACCCGTGAGGTGTACACGGTGTCAACTGGGCTGTTGAGCAAATGCTCCTGAGGAGGGAAAATTACAGCGTGGGACTATCGCTATCGATTTGTCGGGTACTTGCGCACACCTAGTCTTCTTGCGATTGTCTTAGCAGACTGTCTGAAGCCAATGATATGCTGATAGATGTTATTTTCCTAGTGCACTAAGTCAAGAAAGAACATCCTAAGACATACGCACCATGTAGTCTTGTCAAACAAGCCAGACGGCTTCCTTAGAGGGTGGCTTAACAAAGGAATGGAATGGAAATGTATTTATCCACCAACATTTAGCACAAGAAGTGTCGGTGTGGATAGAAAGGAAAGGAAGCATGAGCAAGACCTTTACAGAACAATGCACGAAAAACTTCTAGAGGTATCCATAATTCATAGTCATTTCTTGCTTCATCTAGCGTGAACAGCTAAACTCCCACTGTAAACGGGATCTGGTATCTTCAAGAAGGAGTAAACAGCCAACCCTTACCGGATGGTGGCGATCATGGTAGTGTGGGAGTTCCCCCCGAGGCTGTCCTTCAGCAGGAATGTCAACACGCTTTCCCTGGTTGACGGATACACAACAAATGCAAGTAAAGCGCACGTCATCGTTCAACCCAAGGACACAAGGGATATGACCAAGGGTTCCCGGAATTCTTGGAGTGAACACAGGAGTGGCAGGAGCATGTGGTGTGTATTGTCCTCAGCTTAATCCTCGCTTGACAGTAATCAGAATTATGCCCTCCCGCCGTCCTTCTTTCTCTGAGGCTTGGGGCTTCCCTACCATTAATCGCACCAACAAGTATCGCTGGAAAAAAGGAACGGCAGAAAGCATCACCGATGGATTTCAGGTCCCACATATCATCGGATATGTACTTTTAAGCCGCACTCACAACGTTAGGCGAGAACAAGGCGGTTGTCCAAACAGGACAACAGGCAAAACTGCCACCCTTTACGACAAGGCATGTGGCGACAGTACTGGGAAGTGAAAAAAACGGCAACTAGATATTCTTCATCGGGCAACGCACCTGTACGGTACCCTCCCGCCGCCGCCAATCGACTGCCGGAGACCCCCACTCCCTCCATCGCCCCCACCATCTCGTCTGGGAACTCTCGGGGAAGACCCTGCCGGCTCCATGGATGATCGCGGCGAGGTGGGCGGAGAAGTACACGGGGACAGGGGTGGGGAGGCAAAGGGAGACCGGGGCGGAGACGATGAAGGCTGGGACAGTACTTGCTGCTGATACCGGTGATCTTGCATGGACCCTGACGACCTCCGTCTGTTGATGCGGGGCCCTCGACCTCGGCCACGACCATCCCCCCCTCCGGACAGAATTCGACTGTGACGGTCACTGCCGTCATCGTTCTTGCCAGCGCCATCAATCGATGATACCGTGCTGTACCCGGTGACGCTCCCCTCCCCGTTCACCGCGGCCAGAGATGCGGCGGCGGCTGCGGCGGCGGCCGGAGAGGGAGCGGGGCCATGGACTGGAGAAGGGGTCTTCAATAGCGACCGGTTGCTTGAAACCTTTCTGTAGGAGGGGAAGGGCAGAGAGAATGTGGTGGTGGTGGTGGTGGTGGTGAGAGAATGTAAATATTCAAACATTGTTTTTGGCTACTACGTGTGGCGCTATGCGTGTTTCTTAATGGAGGACGACAGGGGGGTTAGGGCAAAAGCCATTGCTCCAACCTTTTCTGGGTCTTGGGGACGTGGAGAAGGGGTTGACTCTTGATCTTGTTTGATTTGTTTTCGCGGAGTGTTCAATGTGTGTAGGGTTTTCCTCAGAACAGACGAAGGGGGCTAGAGTATGCCGCACGCTCGAGCCGTTGATATCAGGTCTTTCATTCAACAGTTGGAACTGGGTGTGGCGATCATGCTTCTCGTGACAAGTGAGCAACTCGCTCTTGCTGCGCCTTGCGTCCCTTACGTGACAGGTGTTCCTGCAGTAGTCTGCTGCGCGGGTGACTGCTTGATAGGCAATGCGATTTTGTATGTGTGAGTTTTCTTTGAACAGCACAGCCGACAGTATGTTACAGAACAACGTGGTTCGAAAAAGCAAGACGTTGAAGGGGCGGTCGAGCACAGAGCAGCGGCGGAGGTAAGTGAGGAGAGTTTTTCAAGGGTTATCTGGTATCACATGGCGACTCTCCCTGGCGCAGAAAATCACCGTCGAATCTCGTCCTTCGCTTTGGTAATGTAGTAATACACTCACTTTACGGTCAACAACGGCAGTGGATCTGGGAGGCTCTCATCCACTCCGGCGTTCCCTGGCAACCTCTGCTCGGACTTGCGGGGGCTGGAGCTTGGGATGACGCGCGGGCGCCCCTGCAACACAGCAGCGACAAACAGCGCCCATGTACAACCGACCAAGTGTAGGGGTTATTGTTGCGTTGTCGTTGCTTTTGTTTGCAAACACCGAAGTTCGCGTACAACAGAAATTGCAGACGTATGGGGTATCGGCGATCGTATGGCGTGTCGCACGCTAGGAATCAAACATATGGAACGTTGGTTTCATGCAGGTACCTCGGTGGAAGCGTCCACGAGAGCCTTGATGACCCTGCCCAGTGTGAGCAAAGACTTGTTGATGGCGGCACCCTCCTTCAACCGAGTGCCGGCCGACCCCGCCGTGTTGGCGTTTTCCGAGCCGGCCAAATCCACCAAGTTCACCTGCAGTTTGGTTTGGTGGTTGAGGGTGGGTGCTGTCGTTGGTGCTGTCTTGTTGTTGGCCGTGGTTGTCTTGACATAACAAGGAAGTATCCACAGCCCACGGTCACCTCCTTGGGTTTTTCGGGCCAGCAACCAAACTCAGACCCACGAGAGAACAAACACAACCAGGAGGACCCGTTCAAAATCGCTTGCGCATCCGGCTGCGCCCACAGAAGCATCCCCACTGCCCCCCCTTTTTCTGTGGGTGAGTGTCGAAACGAAAGCAAACGAAAGTTACCTCGTTGCATCAAGAACAACAAGATTTGTATACTCCTAAATGTTGGATCAATCCTCCCGAACGATTGAAACTCGAATGCTCACGTCGATGCGTCCGCTTGAAGCCATCAGCGATCTATGAACAGCCTGCGTGGGCTGTTGGGTTCAACATCTACTACCACAACCTTCGCCGGACTCCACGGGAACACGAAACTGCGGCCCACGCGAGTTTCATACAAGTATGTACTGGTATCATAGAAGAGCCACACAACGACAGACAGGCCTGAGATCGATCTAACCCTGCACCTCAGTTGCAGAGGACCTTCGCGAACAATGTAGAGTAGTATGTGTTACCGTAGGCACGCCAGTTGAGCAGTACCATACGTAATCGCTATTGAAACTTAAGCTTGCTTCGATTCTTGGGTTCCATCGCACACATGTGTTGAACGGGCACCCCTATCATAAAGATTAACTTATCCTAGTTCAAGTTGCGGTTTGTCTCCGTACAAATGGGCTGGAATACACGCTCTACACTAGACATAAAGCCACAAGTTATTGCGGAATGATTGCGTCACTGTAGAACGTCACCCAAGGGCAGCAGAGAAGACAAAATCCTTGTCACCTTGCTTGTCGTATAACCCTCCGCGCCCGTCTGCAGGTCACGCTCCACCTTAGTGGCCACGATGGTGAAGATGGCGTGGCTGCGCGAAGAAGTCTCGTTCATGTTGGTGCCGGCCACCGCCCTCCTCGCCTGCCCCTCCACCAGCAGTCGCTCTGTCTCCCTAGCAGTGGTCACCCTTGCGGTGACAACGCCCTCCACGAAAGGTCCCTTCGTAGGATGTTCCCGCACCTTTTTTACCGGAGGAAAACCACCGTGCACGGCCATGCACGTTAGGTTAGGCCCGCTCACACCTCTACAATGCCAGTAAGAGAGCACGTCGGGATTCAAGGACTCAGCAAGCGTTGGAACCGAGCGTGAATTGCTGCGGGGTGTTCGCAGAGTCTCAGGTAAGGATAGCGGCAACTCAAGCAAGTTGTTCGTCATGTTGCTCAGAACGACGCTGCCGGATCAAGCCTTGTTTTCCGGTAAGTGGCAATCAGGTAAATGCCTCGCGGGCGTTTTTCTGACCCAAACCAAAAAAAACACTGCACGCCGTAGGGTCGCCATTCTTGCGCGACAGAGGGTTCTCAACGCTACATACAATCGTCTAGCTCATTCACCATGAAGACGGGGTGGACGCAAAGGCGTGAGCCTGACGACCACGCAAAGTAGAGGCTTGTTTGTAAACCAAGCCGTGGTATCCAGAACGTAATCGGTTTGCAAGTCACAGGTTATTGAAACGTCACGGGGTCTAGGGCGAGTTGGTAGAACTGAGGCAAAGGGGGAAGGAAGGTCGGTGAACTTGGTGTATTGCTTGCTGAGTATTTCGCTCGCTTGGTAAGTATGTCAGAGGAGGAGGATACTCTCGTGTATCAGGGCAAGGAAGACCAATGTACTACAGGAAAAAGAGTGGAAAAATGAAGACAGGGTATCGGTACAGGTGCATGCGGTGGGGTAGGCCGAGAAGCTATGCTTAGGGGACGTACGGTACATCACGCGTCCCCCGTACGTCGTTCTTATGACGGGTGACAGCGTTGACGCACCCTGCTAAATAGGCAAATTTGGCAGCAAGAGGCAGGCTGTGTCTACGGAAGGGCATAGTTCTTGAAAGAGGAGAGCTTCGAGGTCAACATCCTTTTCCTCGTCCCGCCTTTCGCTCTTCAAATCAACTAGGGTCAACGCAGCAACGGGACAACGGTAAGTTCCTCGAGCAGGGGTATCATCTCCTCAATCCCGGGAAAGATGTTGCAAGCATACATGCAAGTGAAGAGACCAACGGCGGCTCAATATACTCCTGTGCTACGTCATTCTCCTGTCCGTTTCTTCTTGCCTTGAGGTTCTGGTTGGCGCGCCCAGAGGTGTCGAGAAGGTCACGAACCCTCTCCATGTATATCTCCGTGAAAGAAACACTGCCGGAGGGGAGGACGATGGAAGACGTTTCGGAATGTGCACGAGATACAATAGGCGCAAACAAAGCGCCCGCTTTGGGTTAGCGAAACAACCACGGCCAGCGGTCTCTTCGACCGTTTCCGGCCGGCTGCGGCCGTCGGTTGGCGAATCAACGTCTAAAGGAATGAACAGACACCTGCACATGCGCACACAGGTGGAGGGCAACTGCAGAAGTTGCTTCTTTCGGGGCTTCTATACTTGTGTTCAAAAGTAGTACCCTGGGAGGAGACTTGTACGAAAACTTGGATACAAAAAATCTCCATACCTGTGCTATAACACTACTTGCACAGTCACGGCAGCCCCCGCCCTCTCTAATATTCCGCCGCACAAGTTGTTTATCGCTCACCTGAAGGTCCACCTGGTGCTAACTCCGGATTGCTTTCCCAAAACACCAGCACTACTGTTAACAGCGTTGTTGCCCGCACGAGTCGATCCTTCTACCTCGCCAATAGCTTCCGGACCTCCGGTAACAACGCCCGCGGTAGCGTTGGCCTCTGCGGTCACCGTCTCCGCGCGCTCGAACAAGAAGTCACAGATCCTCGGGATCACGCCTCGATTGGCGCCGCCGGTACCGCCCGGGCCGTCCGTGTTGACGCCGGAAGACCCTTCGGACGTGCTATGGGTGGTGATGCTGCTGTTGTTCTTGTTCTTGTTCCTGGTCTTGCCGCTGCTGTCGCTGCTGCTGATGCCGCCGCTATTGCTGTTGTTGCTGAGTTGCGCGCCAGTCACGATGGGTCGCGGTCTGATACCGCTCGTGCCTTCCGAGGTGGTGGCGTTCGATGTCGATGTTCCACTGTCGTTGCTGATATTACTGTCGCTGTCGCTAGGAGGTTTGCTCACTGTCGCTTCCTGCGTGTCGCTTTCCGCCACCGCCGCGTCCGACGCTTGTTGCTGAGGCTCTAAGGCCATAATCTCGACGGGCGGGGGCGGGGGTGTGACCGCCCTTACCTGCTGTTCCATTGTTTCTATCACTGTTGCTTCTATTGCCTTTGCTGCTGCTGGTCCGGAGGGACCGGCCCCCATCATAGTGAACGTCTTCCCTGACCCCGTCTGGCCGTAGGCGAAGAGGCAAGTGTTGAAGCCGGCAAGGCAATTCTCGACGACGCCCTGCCCGATTCCTGCGAAACCGTGCGTTCAGGAAAATTTGTCGCCATCCATTGCGGCGAGAAGAATACAGTTGGATGAGGTGTCACTTTCCGTGGCCATGGTGCAGCCGTGTGGGTCATGTCGCGGTCGGTGCCTGTTCGGATACGACTAGGTACTCTGCAAGTTTTGTTGACTTTGTGCGGTTCGAGACAATGATGGCTTTGCGGATTGTCTATGGTCTGTCCCCGTGAATACGCCTGTTTTCAATTTTTCCTCATGGAGTACCACTGGTGGAGGAGTCGTCGTTTTCGTTTAAGTTGTTAGGCTTTGTGGGAGATACCATAGGAATGCTTAATCGCCAGGCGTTCCAAACGAAGCGCAAGACGGGGAAAGGGTTACCGTTAGATCAAGGAGCTTCGTGCAGATTTTTCCCGTCTGTATCGAATACAACACTTATGTCAAACGAAAAACATGGGTTTTCTGCGCATGTGAAGGTACGTGTGTGTCCCGTCGAATTCTGAGAGGTTCTGCTGCAGTGGAAGGATAGTGTGTACTCCTCCCTCGAGGCTACTTGTTTGAAAGAGCGAGGCTTGAGAACGACTCCATAGATCAATACTACAGCCAATACCTTTGCGTTGGCATGGCCGGTTCCCATGTTTCCCGCCACGTCCATCACCACCAGAAGTTGCGGGAAATGGAAGATGCCCTTTCGTTGTCAAGGTTCCATTACTTGACTCATCTTCTCTACTCTGTCTTGAGTGCAGATGAAAGAGCATGCATCGGAATATCACCACATCCTTTACCCACTCAAGTTAAATTTTTCTTTCGTCGCTTCTCCGACATCACGCACGACTACACGGATTTCAGCGAAGGAGCACATGCGTGATACCCTCGAAACGAACGTTCTTTGATTGGTCCGCTTCCATTCTCAGTTGGCCATACTGCTAAAGTGCTCCTCAAAGTCCAAGCAACACACCTACAACAATGCTGAATGCCTACCTTCGAACACGCAGTTCTGGGATGCGTACGGGGCGGGGCTCCTGCCGAGCGACCCCTGACGCTCCCGACCTTTCGATCCCGCCTGCATGCTCCAAAACACTCTGTCGAAGGTGAACGTTGGTCCGCTGGTGTTGACATTGCCGCCGCCGCCCCCGCCACTAGCGCTGCCAGGTTGTCCCGAAAATGAATTGTGGCCCGGCGATGAATCGCGTAGATCACCCTTCACGCGCCTAGCGGTTTTCGGGCAGAGAAGGGAAGTACAACCAAAGAGAAAAGAGTCAATTGTTTCGGCGCAGTGCTGAGGGTTGCACTAAGAAACTTTGCTTTCAAGTGTACGGGAGCAGATCCGTGAAGAGCATGTCACCTTCTCGCAGATGGGGTTAGGGAAGACTCTCTTCTCGGGCGTTCTGTGTCGAGTGCCAGCTGTGTAATGGGTTTTTGCTGAAAAATTGTATCGATTTCTTCCTTGGGCTCCAGAGGGGTTCAGCACTCGCTTCCCTTCTTTTTTTGCGTACTCGTGACCATGCGAGGTTCACTACAAAATGGTTACTTCGTCATAAATGCGACTCCCTGCCATAGCAAATAAATGTTCTTTGTAACCCCATCTCAAGTACGCGGTTTGTTGTTATGTGTGACCTACTTGAGAGTTTGGTGCAGGGCGTGAAAAATTACAACAGAGTACGTCTATTGTACCTGGCCTGGCCCACGTTTTGAGTGAAGGCAGACCTCGCTTCGAAACAACATTTCCTATTCAAGACCCAAGCTGTGGGTGGTAGCGACGTCTATCCTATGATAGAATACAAGGGGAATACGTCTACCCCCTTTTCCGGGGCCAACGTTCCGCGTCAAGCCCGCAGGATAGAAACAGAGGGTTAGAAATGCCAACGGTTCAACTACGAAGATTTGCGTTGTTGCCCAGTGTAGACCATTTGTCATTGCAAAGTAATGCCGAAAAATAAAACAGGGCTGGGAGGAAGCATTGGGTTTGATATTTATTTATTTCCAGAGATCGATTGAGCGCCGAGGACATGCTTGAGTTTCTAGCGAGGAATCAAAGTGCGTGTGATGCGTGCAGGGAACGCGTACGGCATTCTCCCATTGTCGGGTCTTGCCTCTGCATGAAAGGTCACCCAAAAGACCGTTACGTGCAATGGTGCCCAGATAAAAAACAACAGCTACACACAAAACGGCACACCCATCATAACCCAAGAGTATATTTAGAGCCGCGCATGCTTCAAGTATAGCATCGAAGACGTATGTGGCGTGCAGAGTTTAGAGAGAAAGAAAAACGCTGGTGCGAGCCCGTATCAGAACCATGTCTCCCGAGATCGGGTCGAAAGGACCATGTGCGAGCCATCCACGTCGAATCACGCAGGGAGTTATGCTTTGACTGCGACATTGTCTAAGTTGCTGCTGGGTACCGGCAGTCCTTTATCCCTTGTAGCGTGTGGCACCGGGAGAGCCAGGCCGCGAGACACACAGTGTAGGTTTCACAGATTCAGGGGGAGCCGTAGGCGAAAAAGCGGCCGAAATATTTCGTGTGAGCAAGGTCTCATCTTGAAATGCTGTACGGAGAGGAACTAGTTTTCCTTTCAGCGGGTGTGATCTTCATGCACAAGCAGAATTAGAAAAAAAGTGCCTGCAGGCTGCTGATATTATCTTTGGAGGTAGACACCGATAGAGATGCGGCCGGTTTGCATGTTTGCATTATTCTGCATGCTCTGGCCCCAACCACCGGCGATCAAACCTAAACCATACCCTACCCCTAAAAATCTATCAATATCGAACCCCAACTAAAGTTAGGAGCTTGGTTGGTGTGCGTTGGAGGCGTGCTATCCATGTAGGTCGTCGTTGTTGCCGCCGAACTAAGTCGATTGTAGGCACCAATTTCCAGTTTCTGCCTGCGCATGCAGATATACACAAGAGCAATTCCTTATGCTGAACTCAGACTGGAGGCTGTCTCTGCGAGGTCGATTTACGCACATCGTGAGTGGAGCACAATGCGCAGTGAGGAACTTGCTACTTATCAAATAGCACTACATATGCAGAAATGCTGTGAGTGTTGATCTAAAGTGGTGAAAAATATACTCCGAGTATAAAAGAACGTCGTTTTGTCCACAGGTCGACGTCCTTCATTGACTATCAACCGTGTTTTGCATTTGGGAAACAAATGTGGGTGGGATAACATGAAGAAAGCAATTGGCAATGAGGGAAGTAGCACGCCCTTTCGTGCCCCCTTGTGTATGGCTACTATGTGAGGGATATGGATGCACCCCTTTCTCGACTCGTGTCCCGTTGAACCACATTGCGATGGGTACGTGGCACAACAGTAAATATCACCCGCCGGGGTGGAAATAGCACACACACGCACCTGGCTTCTGCGCCGTCTCGATCAACTACAATGGTGTTCTGGCTGCCAACTGCTGGAAACACGACGACATCATGCTGGTGGCCGCTGGTGGCAGCGCTGTTGCCACCACCACCGCTCTCGGGCGGACGAACCCTGACGACGACAGTCACCCGCGCCGGCTGCAACAGTACAGAGGCAAAATGTAGAAAAGGAGCAACATGACAAGATGCAGAGACATTAGACTAGTGGTGAACCGGCGCCGGCTGCCGACTATTTAGCACATGGACATGAACTCGCATAGCTCCAAGAAGCTTTGGCATCCTTGTGATGATGAGCTTTCAGAGATAACGATGTGCACAGGTCTTTGTTGCTGGCGGACTGTGGCGTGTGGTACATATTCACTGGTGGAGTTGGGCATCGTGTGGTGATTATACGTTGCGTATGTAGACGCAAACAGCGACTAAAATTATACCACTCAGTCAAGTCATATATTGAACCGTGTAGGTCTAAGAGATCTCAAGGGTATACACAGAGTCAGCCCATTACCGTACTCGAGCCCAAACCAAATCCGAAAAGGCAAGATATGGACCGACCGCTCACGCGTGTTTCGGGCAGATACTGCTGTAGATCTCTGCTGACTGAATCCTGCGCGGATGGCGGGTCTCATTCTATTGTAGCACCATGCAATAACGCTGGTGTGCAACCATTAGCGTCATAGTCTACAGGTGGAGACCACAAGGGGGGGTACACAGTAGAAGGGTGTGTAAGCAAGCTCGCCTGCTTGTGTTTAACAACAGAGCACATCAGTTGACAGCGCTGGAGACTGGTACTACTGCTCTACCCAGATGTACTGGCATGCGAAAGACGGTGCTGAATCTACAGGTGTTGGACTACTTCAAGCACTTTGCCAATCCTGCCAAGGGAGGGACAGCTGTAACACAAAACCGAGGCAGGACCTACCTCTTTTGAGTCCATCGATGGAGCTGTGAACACTTCACCAGGTGCGGTATCCGCACGAAGGTCCTGTAACCCGTGACGAGCCGCCCGTAACCCGACGCAAAAACGGCATGCAACAGATACCAGATACGGTTCTCGAGGCGTTCGGTGGAAAGAAAAAAAAAACGCCAACCGTCGGTTATCCCACCGCGCCTATCTGTAGCACAGGAGTTTTAACGTTTCTCCCTTAGCTAGAGTGGACTCTATCTGCTGCTCGAGAGACCACGAAACAGCGTGAAAACCATGAAGTTACTGCCTGAGACCCTCGGCAATAGCTCTGCCCACCACCCCACCCAAGCACGCTGTCGAGAGAGCAATAGCACGCACATGCCGCCCGTTTACATCACAACAATACTTGATGGCCCGCGCACGCACACACGCCTGCACACGAGAAACCCTCGTTTGTCTGCTTCTCGGCTTCTCGGCTGTCGGTAAGATGAGCACACAGGCAAAGGTAAACACCGGCATGGCGCGGTCACCCCTATCGCTCCCTCCTTCCTCTCGCCGAAGTGCCGCCATGCGCTTGGTGGTGTTGACGCTGGTCTTGTGCTGTCCCTTGGGGTGGTCATTCCAGGTACAGAAATGTGGTGTGTAGACCGACAAGCTTCACTGCTGTTGTCATGTTCATGTGTTTGCGGCGCTCACATGTACCTTTGCCTACTTTCACCATCACACCCACGCTTGACTGGAATATCGAGCATCAAATCTGAAGCCGTTGGCTGGTTGTGCATGCTGCAACAATCAGATTGTTACGTAGGTCGCCTCGGACGTGTCACCGTTGGATTTGTAGCTGTGCTCATGACGTAGTATAGCACCCCCCTGAATGGAGGTCATTCCGGGAGGGATGTGAGTGACCCCGAACGAAAAGGTTATCTGGAAGCTCTAGACAAGGTTAGTTGGATGTCACCAAGATAGGCATCAACGCGTGCCCGTTGCTGACGGGGTGGTATTCTACTTCGGCTTGTAAAATGCGACGGGTCCTACCATCTGCTGCTTGCGACGATCGATCTACAAAAGTGCCTACACTCACTGAAAAGACTCCACCACATCCCGTTCGACTGTGGGTATGTCTCGAATGGGTGTCTTTCTGTGTGTGTTTTTATTATTCCTTAATACAGGTGTTGCAAGGTAAAAGTGTAGCTGTGCATATGACGTACACGAGTTGAGCTTGCCGTGCACACGGAGTGCGCCTTAAAGTAGGATTGCGTGTTATTCCCCTGGCTTGGTTCTCTGTATGCTCGTCGGTGCAACAGCGTGTCACATGCAGCATGATGCTATTTCACATAGCTGATTGCGTTTTAGAAAACCAACAGCATGCTACCATATTGCACAAACACTAGTCTACAGATCGTGTCCATATTCGGCCTCCTACATACCGATGCATCCACCTCTTTCCTCGTTACAAGTGACTTGTTCAACAGCTATCTTTCTTCCTCTTCCCTGCGAATCGTGGTCCCATTCTTTCGGGACGCCCTTCTGCAGATTGGCTCGCCAGCCTTTACGCGGCGCGGTCGCTCTGTAACAAACCCCACCAGCAGTGGCAACACGAAGAACGTTTGTGAGGCTTTGCGATCGACCTCTCCTTGGCCAAATCGCACCAACACCCGCATTAGCAGCCGCGGCCTTTGCGGCGCAGACGAGGTGGCCAGCGAGCCGTTGCTCGCGCTCAAGGATGTACTTGCAGGTCTAGTCGCAGCGGCGTTTGTGGTGAGTGTGCAGTAGTGATGCTTTCCCAACACTGAAGCAGAAGTTACACAACATGCACGCAACCGTCCTCTAGCCATAGGAATTATCGTGATAGATGCAAGAGAAGAGCTGTAACACCTCGTAAGGTCCAAGCCGAAACAGTTGTTTGGGGCGGTATTGTTGGGGATGTGGAGTACTTCACCACTACCACAGTACTGCGGTGGGGGATTCGTCTGGTCGAACTATAATAATGGTGGCGGAGAAGGGCCGGTTTTTTGTTGTCCACTGTCTGTTGACTACACACTGGTTTGGGGCATCAATTTGGCACGAACTTGTTGCAACTAGTTTCTAAGCCGTGAAAAAAAGCACTAGGTAGATTTTGAAGCGCAGCAAGTAGTCTAGAATGCCTACCTGCGTTGGCTGTGCCGGCCGCTTGATACCTTGCGTGGTACAAGTATATAACAGACCTGTAGAACATGTCGTGAGATGCATGCACCCCAGTAGGCTATTGAAACCAACCGAGGTTGAAACTCCTCTGTGACTGCATGCATGCGTCGTGACGAACTATAACAGTTAGGGAACTGACGGGAGTGTTATTCGGTTGTCGTGGCCCTGTACGGTGCCCTACGGCCTCCTCCCACCCTGCCCGCAAAGCACTGGACACTCTCACCTCGACTGAAACCTGGAAGCTCTGGACTGCTGTCGTTGCGTAGCACGATGCCGCCTACGATGATGTTGTCATCGTCCTGCCCCACACACCCTACCTCTCTTACACCAGCGGTGCCGTACCGATTCTGTTTCGTCCTACCCAGCTTGCTGCCGATCCTGGGACGGCGCTAGCGGATACGGCGATGCCGGCGGCATCTGGTCTGCCTTCAGGCTCGGTCGTCGAAGCTACCGCTACCAGTACCACCTCTGCTGAGGTGCAAGAGGTGGTGCCAACGATAAAGCTGGAGGGAGAGCTCGCCGCTCAGTTCAAGAAGGTGCAGACCGTACCGAGTGGTGCCGAAAGGCGGCGAGTGTCGTGCAAGAGTGTTAGGTTAGGTGTGGTCTGGCAAGGTGGGTTGTGCTCGACCGGTGCATACCGCGGATTGGTTCGTGACGCAAGAGGAGCGGTTGCTACACTTGGTAAAAGAGTGTTTTGAGGGAGGGGGGGGGGCGGGGTTTAGCCTCTCCTTCCCCACTTCCCTCTCTCTTCATGTTTGTTTCCCCCGAGTGTTGATAACCAGATCGTTACTCGAAACCTCTTCACTTGCACTTACGTCTGTCGTGATCGCTACCAGCTATCGACCTTGTCAGATTTGCGAATTGCGTATCCGATACGCGCTTCTCGCTAACTCAACAAACCTGGGGGATGCTTTTCCGCCCAATCGTCTTGAAACCTCAGGCGCAAGCGGCGGGTAGCGTCCAGCAGTTCGACAAGGCGAAGAAACTCTACAACCAGGCAAGCCCTCGACCAAACGGAAACCATGCTACATTTCATCATGTCTTAAGCTCACCCATAATTGATTTTACCAAGTTGCCCATCCACGATGATAGGCGAACCCAACTCGTTCCATACGCCCCTCCGTCCCACCCCACTACGGCCCACCCCACACTCCCGTCTGCCAAAATGGACGACAGGGCGGTCGCTGCTACAAAGGAGGTTTCGGTTAGATGTAAGCATGCTGGTTTGGTAGCTCTCAGGGCTTGACAAAACGTAAATTCACAGCTGCTGGTTTCTTTCAAGGCTGAATAGCCATCAGCTGAAGCCTGACTCCATGCCCGAAATATGTTAGCTAGATTTCAACCCGAATTTCGAGCCATTCTTAGGTACAAGTACAATGAATTGTACGAGTTCCTTTCATAGCTCAAGCTCATGATCACGAGGTCCAAAGCGCAGGGAGCACGAACAGGCGACGCGAGTCACTGAATGAAGAATCAGAACTGAATTGCCCTTGCCGGGTACTGGGTGCATCGTATCGTCCGTTAGACCTAGCGGAGGCGAAAGAAACTCGACGTCGCGCCAGCGCACCGCATCTACGCGATTCGCTATAATAGTAGCAACGATCTCCGTGTGGAAAATTAAAATTCCCCCTGCGCGGCGGCCATCTTCTTGAGATGATCAAGTATGATGGTTAATCTATCAGCGAGAGCCCAAGCCTTGTCCTAGCGAGTCGAAACGGCTTTAATCACACGGTGCGCTTGTTCGTGGCCCCCCCTTCCGCGTGCGTGAATCGATCCTATTTGCGTGCCCCCTGCAAACCCACCCACTCGACCCACTCGGCACCTTGCTTGACCAGGTCGTCAAGTATGCCCCTGGGTACGTGTACGGGTGGAGCAACCGAGCAAACGTGCTTATCGCGGAGGGAGATTTGAAAGCGGCCGTGTCGGACTACGACAGGGCTTTGCAACTGGCGGAGGGAATCTATATGCCAGACAAGTGGATAATCTACCTCAACAGGTAACCGTGGGCTGGTTGACGTTTTTCGTTTTTTTGGAAGTCCAGCGTGTTATCTTTTTAGGTCGGCAGTGTTGGGACCAGACTGCTGTCCGGGTGTGTCAGGTAGTACGGGGATTCGAGCTGGGTATAAGGAGAACCACGACCACACTCTTTTTTGCGAAGGCGGCGGCAGCAACTACAACAACTATAACTCCGACAACAATTTCAACAGCAACAACAACAACAACAACAACAACAACGTTTTGCCCTGTGGTGCTCATCTTTCGGCATTCCAACAGGAGGTATCCTTGCGGTCCGTGTTTTGCGTTCCGGTTCGGCCTGTATCACACCGATGCTTGTAAGAATTACTTCCGAGCAGCTGTTGTCGCTCCGTACACAGTGACTAGAGAGACAAAAGAGCCCCACAGAGTCGCGCACACATGCACTCGCCCTGTTTGCCAATGTTCGTAGCAACTGTGTTTCCAACATTTTTGAGGGGCGGCCCTCGTAAATTGACGCAAGGCAGCATGGGGTCGTCGTTCAATGGATGTGGCCTTATTGCGGGCACTACACTTGGAGTACGAGGAGTTGAACGCTCCGGCGTTATTGTCGTTCGCGTGTCGTCGGCATTCATCCCGTAGTGCACACTGAGTACCACACGGAGCAAGCGTTCGAGATACCCCGGCAGCCTGCTACTCACTTGGGTGGCATTGGGGGTGTGTGCGTGATGAGGGAGAAACTAATTGTTTCGTAGTTCGCCTGAGGATGAGAAGATGAAACACAACCGTCACACACCGCAGTAGTGACGTCACGTACGATTGCTGGTTGTGGCTCACTTCCGCCGAGTTGCCAGATAATCCTATTTGTGCTTCTCGCGATCGCGATCCGTCGTGGCGGTTGGGTTTGTTTGCTTACCTTCAGGGGGACTACGCTGATGGCGTTGGGAGACGACGATCGGGCGATGTCGGACCTTAACCAGGCCGCCAAGCTCAACACCTCCAAGGATCTTTACACCCTGGTGAGATACTGCTGTACCTCCCGGTGTGGTACTTGAGTCCGTGGTTGGTTTGTGTTGAGTACTGAAGATACGACTATTACTAAATAGTAGATGGATGCCACTCGTTTTCGTGATTGAATGATCTATCATAGGTTGCGTAGGATGCAACACCCCCTCAACCGTCTCTTTATGCTCTATGCCTCCCGCGAGGACAAATTATGCCACAGCAGTCAAGTGATGCATTTTCGAGAAGCTCTCGACGAGACAGTTCCAACCCCACAATTTTCGGCACCTTCGATCTGTTTCTGCTGCAGATGAGCCCAACTTTGGAAATCGGTTCAGGGAGGGTGGTGTCTTTTACAATCTAAGATGATCCCAGGCGGGTTTAGGCTGGCAAGCAGCAACAGTGAGAACAGCATAAAGAACAGCAACAGTTTGATGACGGCACGAGAAGGACCGATCGCCGATAGATACGAGAGGCTATCAGCTTACGAGCTGTAGTCGTCGATCTTTCTCTCTCTCTCTCTCTCTCTCTCTCTCTCTCTCTCTCTCTCTCTCTCTCTCTCTCTGTCTC